GCCACACCCCTACATTCCGGAAGCCCCAGCGGATCCTGGATCTGGCCTGTCTGACCTCTCCTGGATGGATGGCAGGGCAGTGAGTAAAGTCTCACCCCCACGCAACAGGACTCGGGCGGGGCGGCTGGAATGTCACGCAGTAGAGAGGAATGTAGCGGGTTCCACAGCCAGACACACACAGACAGGGCCTTGTGGGGCCGCGGCAGACCTTGTGGAGGACCGTGGGGGCGGGCAAGGCCGAACCAAGGGCTCTCCTCCCCCCGGGAGAGGCACTGACTGCCCGCTCCCCAGTATCCAAAGTGTGCCTCCCACCGCCCACCACGGGCAGGGCGGCCTTCACGCCTAAGTCACCTGGAGACTGCTTTGTCACCCGATGGACTCCCAGCAACACGTGGCACATGGACACTGGGGTTTACGGCCCAGATGCTCGGTCTCAGAGACGCTCGGCTCATCTCTCGGCCTTGGTGTCCTTGTCTGTGAAATGGGTGTTGGAACGCAAACGCTGACCTTGCAGAGTGGGGGGTCACTCCTGCAACCTGGCCGGAGGCCCACGTCCAGAGCGGGGCTGCCTGCACACAGCGCTGCCTCTGCTGATGGACTTGAGCCTGGTTACCAGCCAGGGGTCCCGGGAGAGGGCAGGGTGCAGGCCCCCTCGCCCTGGCTCAGGTGTTGAAACCTCTCCTGCGACTTGTTCCTCGCAGCATGGAAAGTAGCTGCAAGGTTCTGGTGGGGCGGCTCAGGCCAGTGGGGTGGCAGGTTGCCCTGCACGGCCCTGTGGGTGCCTGAGGGGAGCCCAGAGGACAGGGCCCGGCAAGTGGCTTGTTGGCATCAGGGCTGAGCGGGAGCCCACGGCCCGGGGACTCAGTCCCAGGCTCCCTTGGCGGGTGCGGTGCCGAGGGCCGCTCCTTGCAGGCCCTGGGAGAAGAACTGGTGCTCTGGGAGGCGGGGAGGGGGCCAGGCGCCCAGGGAGGTGGCTCTGAGCAGGCCGGGGGTGGGGGGTCCCTGAAGGCTCCTGTGGCCCCACTGATGCTGTGATCTGTAGTGACTGTGGATGGGACCAGCTAGGGGACCTGTAACTTCTGGACCCACCTCAGAGTGGACCAGGGTCTGGCTGGGCGGGTGGGGGACAGCCAGCAAGTGAGGAAGAAAGCTGACTGCTTCAACCTGACCCCTGGGTTGGCCCCCGAAGCCCCTCGCATCACCCAGAATGAGGGGAAGGGGCTGGGGAGGGCCTTTGACTGGTTGACTGACCCACTCACTCTTACCTGAGATATGTGTGAGCATCCGTGTTCCTTGTGGTAGGTAATGGGGCTCCAGGAAGTGAACGGAAGGGGAGACAAAAAATCTCTCCGGCAGGAGATCAAATCTCCAGAGGAGAGAAGTGACAGACACGTGAGAAGACGCGGCTGCTCCTGGTGGTGTCTGCTGTGGATGAGACTGGGCAGGGGGCAGGACACGGGCCGGGGGGCGATGCCAAAGCAGGCGGGGCCCAGGGGCACACCCAGGGCTGGTGGGGAAGGGCCCGGAGCGGAGGGGGCCCCAAGCAAGCCGTCACTCAGGCGAGCTGGATCGTGGGCCCGAGGCGCCAGAACTTGTCTGGTCACTCGTGGGGAACTTGTGGGTCACATGGTACTGGGGTGCTGGTGGAGCAGGGCGCCTGCCTGGGCAGCTGGGTCCTCAGCAAAGGGGGGCACGTGGGGCCAGCATGCCTCCCCCTGTCGACAGGAGGTGGCAATGACCCGCGATGAGGAGGACTCAGCCCCGCCGGGTGCTTGCATCTCCCGTGATGCTGGGCGTGCGTGTCTCAGGGCTGCAGATGGGGAGACTGAGGCTCAGGGTCGCGGCCATGAGCGGTCACAAAGTGCTGACCACGCAACTGGGCCGGGAGGCATCCAGGATCTTTGGCTCCAGCCGCCAGTCCCCTCGGCCCCTTGCAGCCAAGGTGTTGGAGGCCCAGGTCTCTCCCAGGCGAGCCTTGAGGTGGGGGTCCCGACACTCAGGTGCCCTGCTCCGGGGTCATGGGTGGGAGTGGGCACTCAGCACAGCCCCTCCACCTGGGGTCGAATCAGTCATAAAAATACCTGGCCTGGGCTTCTAGCATCCTGTCCTTGCAGTATTGGATTGCATGGTTATAGCTCTGCAGATGGGCCCTAATGGGCCACAAGACGTCAAGCGGCAACACCGAGATGAATGCTCTCCTTAATTCGCCTTTCTGGCTTCGACCTTGCAGGGTAGCCAGGGCCCAGCCGCCTTGCTCCTCCAGAATTTCGAAAAAATTAACTCCTTATTCTCATTTCGATAGTTTGCTAACTTTGTTTTTATCTTGAGTTCAAATGTTTTGAAGAGGGGGCAGGAGGGAGCGAGGGGGAGGGGGAGAGCACGTGGGAGGAGGGACCCACGCCTGCTCCACATTCCCCACCCTACTCCCTGATGTCCAGCCGGCCCTGGGGGCATCGTGTCTGGGAGCCCAGTCGTGCGGGCGCCTTCGGGCCCCCATGGCAGCCGCTTTCGCCCCGCGTGGATTCGGGAGCGTCGCGTCTCTCTCGCCGCAGCCGTGTGTCCTGTGTGCTCCTGCTCTCCGTCCTCTCTCCCTCCTCTCCCGCCTCCTCCCTCGGGTTTCATTTCCTGCCCCCTGGCCCGGAGGGGAGACCCTCCCGCCTGCTCTGTCAAGATCCCCGGGTGTCCTGAGGTGGGGCAGGGCGGTGCTTGGAGGGGCTTTTCCCAACAGTGCCTGTCGGGAGTGGGGGTGCCTTTCAGCAGCCTCTGCCTGCCTGTGGGGTTCACCTCTGGGCCCCTGATGACCCTGCAGGAAGCGGGTGGGGCTGCAGGGGCTACGGGGGTAGGATGCCGGCCAGAGGCCGTGCTGGCTGCTCCTGCTGCCGCCGAGCCCTTGGTGCCATCCTGGGTCAGTGGAGAGCAGGGGGAGCTGGGGGCAGCTCCTTGGTGAGGGTCCGGCCATCCAGCTTGTTCCTGACTCTGCCCCTTGTGAGGATGTGTATCGGGGAGCCGAGTGTTGAACTTTAGTGGACGTGGAGTCCTGTCTCCCGAGGGCTCGGGTGATGCTTGGAGTGGCCAATGGTGCTGGTCCCTGCTGCCCAATGCCCTGCAAAGGAGAGGAACGGGAGCCTAGGGACATGGCAGGCAGGGGCCTGCCTCCGGGGACCCGGGCAGGACAGAGGAGGCCAGAGGGCAGGAGAGAGGGCCCGAATCTGGTGCCTTACCCTGTGTTTAAAAAATAGCGGCAATCCCCTGGTACAAGCTCGTGAACGCCGGAAAGGAGGCAGGGGTGCAGGGTGCAAGGTTCACTTCCACACTGTTGGAAAAGGCCACGCCAGCCCAAGACAGTCCTAAAGGAAATCAGCCCTGGACATTCACTGGAAAGACTGATGCTGAAGCTGAAACTCCAATAAAAGTATTGGCTGCCTGATCCGAAGAGCTGACTTATTGGAAAAGACCCCGATGCTGGGAAAGATTAAAGGTGGGAGGAGAAGGGGACGGCAGAGGATGAGACGGTTGGATGGCATCACCAACTCGACGGACGTGAGTTTGGACAAGCTCCAAGAGATGGTGAGGGACAGGGAAGCCTGGCTGCGGTCCATGGGGTCACAAAGACACGACTGAAGCACAGCAGCAAGCCCAAGACGAGTGTTCCCCAAGCCCCGCCCTCCCGTTTGGTCAGACACTGGGATCGGCGTCATTCTCTTGCTAGTGGCTTTCCTGGTAGGAACTGCAGTGAAGTGAGCCGCAAGGCGACGGAGGGCAGAGGCAGCCCGAGGCCAGGGGGCAGAGGACCGCCAGCCCAGACTCCCCGCTTGTGCTCCCTGGAGAAGCATGTCTGCTGGACAGAGCACGCTCACTTTCTCTTGGAAACCGCGCTCTGTGCCCTGGAGGAAGTGCGGTGGCCCTTCAGTGACGCTCTGGAGAGGAAGGCGGACACTCCGAAGCTTCATGTGCCCTGGGCTGCGGGGCCAGACAGGCAGCCAGCCACTGGCGTTAGTGTGGGGGCCGGGGGCTGTGGGTGGCACCCGTGTGCCCAGCTGGCCTGGTCGTCAGCTTCATTGGGTGTGGAGAAATCTCTCCTGCCCTGAGCTGGAGGCTGGGTTCTGAGAGGGACCTGATTTGCACTGGGCGTCCTCACTGTCAAAAGATACCTTGGGTCAAACCATTACAGGGGTCCCCCCAACCTCGGAAATCCCAGATTTTCTACATTCATGATGGGAGCCAAGAACCTAAATCAGTCATCATTTTAGAAACCAGACTATTAGAGACTCGGTTGACTCAGTTTGACCTGACAGCTTGTGTGTCTGACCGCTGTGGCCCTGCGCACAGTAGGTCCTCAGCAATCGGGCTGGAAACAAAAAGGAGCTGAGGTTTGAGGGAAGGTGGTGGGTGGGGGAAGTTGGGAAGGAGGGAGAGAAGGTGGGGTTTCATTTCCTGCCATTCCACATCTGGAGCACAAGCATCAGTAGAAGAGTCAAAGGGACCCGCTCTCGACCTCAAGCCCTTCTTTCTGAAATCTGCAGCAGCGTGGCCCAGGTTGCAGCTGTGGCTCCCAGGGGATGGTGGAGACCCTGGGGTGAACAGGGCTCTCTCACAAACAGGGAGGAAGAAGCTGGCGGGCAGCCCTGGATGACCCGACGCCTGGCGTTTCAGGGCCGAGGGACCGATGAGCCACTGACGGAGGCGCCGATGGGAGCCTGTGACCCCTCCCCGCCACGGAGCTCCGTGTCCGGGGCACACCTGTCGTGGTGACCAGCCCTCCCAGCTGCAGGGTTGGAGGGTGCTCTGGAGACGTGCATGCAGGTCCCCCCGCCTGGCTGATTGCGTCCGCTGCGGGGGCCGTTGTTGCGGATTCCGGGCCCCACTATCGACATCGGCATTTGCAGCCTGTCTCAGATGATGCTGGCACACCTGGGGACCAGGACAGGGCCTCTGAGCTCGTCCAACAGCCTCACCTGGTGGGCAGAGGGGCTGAGGCCGGGGGTGGGTAGGTGCTGAGACCAGAGTGTCTCATACCTGCCCACTGTCCCAGACTGGGCAGTGCCCAGGAGTGTCCCACAGACTCCTGCCTGCTTGTTCTCTGGATCCTCCATGATTCCCGCGGCAGCTGGTTTGCAGCGAGCTCCAGGGGGCTCCAGTGCACGGCATGGGTGCTGGGAAGGGTCGGACAGGAGGTAAGGCAGGTACACGTGCTCCTACCTGAGACTCGAGGAAGCTGAGCCCTGGCCTGGCTCAGCTGAGGGCCCCCGTGCACAGAGCCAGACGCCAGGGAACGCCAAGCCGTCAGGTGCTGCCACCTGTTGGATCCACCAGCTGTCCAAGGAGGGTGTGCCCAGAGGCCAGTGGAAAGGCTCGGAAACCCACGGTGCGCTTGCCTCCGCCGGCACAGTGGGTCTGCCCTGGATTGCTCCGTGGTGACCCGCAGCTCGTGGCCACTGCATCTGGGAGTGGCTACACCCCACAGGGCTCCATATGGAAGCCTCTGGGAGGGGGGTCCTGACCTGTGGCCGTGGGTGTGCGTGTGCTGGGCTGGAAGCGGCAGATATGGTAATAATAGTTTCCAGGAAGTGTGGGTCTGTCTTGGGTCTGAGATTTTGGACCAAAGAGCTTTTTAGAGGATTTGGAGCTAAGAACCCCCAGACTCTAAGGCCCCTGTGATCAGGTCCCCCTGCCCATCCCCAGCCCTGGGGTGACGCGTCACATTCCTATTCGGAGGCACACCCCATTGAGTCCTTTGGGTTTATCTGGGCCTCGTTCATTCATCCACTAGTTTATTTGTTCAGAAATGCTCACAGGATGCTTACTGTGTCCCAGTACTGTGGAGCTTCTGATGACAGGAACAGAGCTGAAGTCTCTAACCCCGTCAAGCCTCTTTCAAAACTTCCCGGTCTCAGCTCGGAAAGATCCAGCTCCGAGGTTAGCAGAAAGTTGTGCTGGCGCTGTATCAGTTGTCACCTTTCACACGGGTTGCTTGTGTCTGCCCCTGAAGACAGAGAAGATGCATCTTTGATGTCCCGACAGGTGGGTGTAGGGATGGGTGGAGGTGGCTGGGTGGACCTTTGGAAAACTCTCTTTGAAAAAATCGATATGACTTCATACCTCACCATGTGCACATATTATCATTAGTAATTATTGGGAAAGAGTGAAAACAGAAATCTTTATTTTTTAATGGGGCATGATTAAACTTTAATGACCAGTGACCTCACAAAATGAATGCCACACAATGCAATTTGCTCATCTCTGCTTGTGCATACCTTCTGGGTATTAGAAAATTACATAATTAAGTATAGATTACCACAGGCATGTCATTACACATTTTATTATTCCTTAGAGACTTAGTAGTAATACTCTGTATTTATATGTGCTTTTCAACAGATTATCTCCAATCACTTTACAAATATTATCTCATTAATCCTTTGCAATAGTTTCATGAATTTCTCTATTTAATGGATTAAAAAACCACAACCTTCAGCAATTAAGTGACAAGCTGAACATCGCACACTCCACTCGTCTACCAGGGAAAAGGAGGCTTCACCTGCTATACCCACCTGGAGAGGGTGTGTTCTCATTAAGTCAGAACCGAAGGTAAAAAAATTCTTTCCAAGTGCTCAGGAAAATAAGTAGAAGTAGAATTGTTCATTGTAGAACAATCATGGCGGCTGATTCTTCACCATCCTTCATTGTTGAAGTTCTAGAAGAAGATTGTAGATGGAACTTTCAAAAAGAGTTTTTTAAAAAAAAATATATATATACACATCCAAATCAGGGGATGGGAGCAGGAACCCATTTGCTTCATACTTACAAACAGCTTTGTTACTTGTGTTTGTGGATACTGGCTCTAGAAGTTACCCTCATGGAGCAAGACGGCGCCCAAGGACATCAGACGGCGCCCACGGACATCAGACGGCGCCCAAGGACATCAGACAGCGCCCAAGGACATCAGACAGTGCCCAAGGACATCAGACGGTGCCCAATAGCATCAGAATCAATTTCCGGACTCTTTTGGAGACAGCGTTCTTGGGCGGTTTGGGCCTCGTTTCCCGGGGGTCTGGGTGCATTCTGTTCATTGTCGCTATCCTTTGGGACCCTCTTGTCAGGGGGCTTTGAGGGACGAAGCCCTGCTGCTCTCTCTAGTCACTGTCATGTCAGCCCATAGCAGGCACACGTCAAGTATTTCTTTATACATGAAAAATATTTGGGGATTATGAGTAGTCCAAAAGTCCCGTCTGTCACTCAGATAGCGCTTGTTTTTCTCAGCTTTGTGTGTGTGCATGAGTGTGTGCATGAGTGTGTGCTCAGTCGTGTCTGAGTCTTTGCGACCCCATGGACTATAGCCCGCCAGACTCCTCTGTCCGTGGGGTTCTCCAGGCAAGGAATAACGGAATGGGTTTCGCTTTCCTTCTCCAGGGGATCTTCCTGATCCAGGGATCAAACCTGGGTCTCCTGTGTCTCCTGCATTGCAGGCAGATTCTTTACCACTGAACCCACCAGGGAAGCCCTGATAATTCTTGTTTGTTTTTCTCAGCTTTACTCTCAGGAAAATGGGTGGGAGTCTGGGTGGCTGAGCTAATCTCAGTGGAGTCTGCAAATTGTCAGACCCTGGGAATAAGAGCACGTGGAACTGTAGTGTGTTTATGTATAATTATCACTAATTTACCAGTTCAGCTTGATGGTGCAGGAGAACAGTAAATGCATCAGATCTTTATTTCGTGGGTACTTCATGGTGGAGGCTCCTAAACAAATTACCTAATTAATTTGTGGAAACTTGACTTCTTGGATTTTTAAAATTATTAGTTACCTTTGTTAGCAATAAGAAGGCAGTCACCTGCAGTTTAACCTTCCACTTTAGCAGGAGGAAAGGCCTTTGTAGTCAGGAAGAAGTGGCTGTCTGCTACTCAGATGGCCTTCGCAGGGAGTTAGGGGTCTGCTGTCTCCCAGTGGAGAGAGGGCCCGCCGTCTATGAGTTTCAGGTCCAGGATGGGCCTGTGACGGCTGACAGGTGGCAGGAACCACAGTGGGGAAAGGGGTTGGGAGCCCGAGCGGGGAGGCCGTGTGACCGCGGGGTGTCTCTCAGCCGATCTGTAGACTGAGTCCCCGCCTGAACCATAAGCGAGCAGGTCATGTGAGTGTTGCCACCCTCGGATGTCATCTACGGGAACGTGTTAAACGGTGGGCACGCGGCCTCGGGGACTGGCCTGTCTCTCTGCGTCTCTGTCTCCTTCTCCGTGTGTGTGTCTCTTTTTACTTATTTATTTATCGTTAGGGACTTTAAAAAGCCCTCCTACTATCAGTGGGCTTCCGAGGTGGCTCAGTGGGTAAAGAATCTGCCTGCAGCACAGGAGAGGCAGGTTTGGTACCTGGGTTGGGAAGATCCCCTGGAAGCGGGCATGACCAACCACTCCAGTGTTCTGGCCTGGAGAGCCCCACGGACAGAGGAGCCTTGCAGGTGCAGTCCCCGGGGTCACACAGAGTTGGTCACACCTGAGGCGACTGAGCGCCCACGCACTGCTACTAACACCATCCTTTTATGAATGACAGGGCGTTCTCGGACTGGAAAGACCAGCTCCAGAGCAAAGGTGGTCTTTTCAATTGAATAAGCTTGAATTTTTACGGACAAGTTCACCGCTACTATCCTTACTGTTGTCATTTCACCAGTGGGACTCCTCAGGACTGAGGACCAGTATGTGGGAAACCCTGGTCCCAGGGCCCCTGCAGGCCCTTCAGCAACCCCACTGATCATTTTTGGGTCCATGAGCCAAACCCAAAGCCTGCCCCGGGGACTCTGCCCGCACTCTGCCCCCTGCCTGGAGCCCTCTTCCGCCAGTCTTTCCTGAATAGGCCTCGTTTCCTCGTCCGAGTCTCAGTTCAAGGGTCGCACCACCTCTGCTCAGATGTCAGCTGTCACGGGGCCATCTTATGTGAAGCACCCGGAGCAGGGCCTGGCTTTAGTAAACGCCCAGTAAATGCAGATTAAATGAAGGCAGTGATGACGGCCTGACGCCCAGGGCTGTCTCCCGAGGGCTCGGGTTTGCTGGGTGCCCGTCTGCCCACTGCTCTGGTGCTGTTACCCTCCCTGGGTCATTCAAGCTATTGTGACTCATTCTGACGGCAGGCACACGTTGGTCCTTACCTCTGGCCTCCGTCTCTGAGGCTCAGTGACTATTTGTTCCGTGCATGAGTGAATAAATGAGTGAATGGACAAGACGAGATTCAGTCTTTACCTTCAAGAAGCTAGTGCTAATTGGTGTAAAAGCGTTCATCTGTAAAGAGTGAACGAGGTGATTGTACCAAGCTCAGTGACTGACTCTTGCGGGCTTATAGGTTTACTTTTCTGCAAAATTACTTGAGAACTCATATTTTCCCAGTTTTTAACTTTTCTGATGCTAGGTACTATGAGAAGGGCAGGGCTGGGGTCTGCTGGTTTCAGCACGATTGGATGAAGAGAGAAGGTGGTGAAGGCGGAGATGGCGTGGGCTGAGAGCAGGACCCTCTGGCTTCAGGGTTCCAACCTGAATTTCAGGGCAGTGCAGGGGCCTGATTGAAATGTTTTACTTTTTAATTAAACTTAAATCAGAATATTCAGAGTCACAAAAGAAAGCAAAGAATGCTCATAACTGGACCTTCCTAAGCAGGCACCACTAATGTCTCATTTAAACATCATTATGAAAACGTTTCCAGGGCCAAACATTGGCAAAACCCCTGCACGTGTTGGCGGTGATTTCCAGCTTCTGTCCCTGAGGTGGACACAGGCTGAATCCCGAGTCAGCTGACGTCTGGGTTTCAGGCCCAGGAAGCCCCGTGTCTACGTCATGCTTTTCACACTTTGAGGATAGGAATGAATCTCGGTCACAGCGTCACAGCCCCTGGTGTTGAGCGCTGGCTTCCTCCAGGCCTTGCTTTGTGTGCTGTGCTTCCATCACTGACCACATGAGTCAATTTCCACAGCAGGTAACACGGCACTTTTTTTTTTTTAGGAAATAAAATTACTGTGGGTGCTCAGTGAAACTCAAGTTTCAGATGCACAAGTTTCAGAGCTTTAAAAGTATAATTACATCCCCAGTATTGCGTGGGACATACTCATACCCCCAAATATCTGTTTGTCTCAATGAAATTACTCGGCATCTGGATTTACACTGCCACCCTAATTGCAGGGCCGATTTCGCTTGAGACCAACGTGCCAAGTGTTTCTGAGTAACAGGAAGAGCAGAGGCGTGGGACACGCTCACTCCTGCCCCCCAAACTCTGAGCGATGCTCTGGCTCTCTCCACACTTCTCAGCCTTCGTGCAGACGAGCCCCTTCGCTCTTCATAGGGGAGGGAGCCAAGGTCCTACCCCCTGGCCGAGCGTGGCTAAGCCAAGACGGGCCTCCGCAGGCTGGCTGCTCTCGGAGCTCTGGTTGCCTTGACCTTCCACCACCTCTGCGTGGATACCCACACCCGGCATCATTCCATCTCACATGGGTTGATTTCTGGCCGTACTTAGCTGTATTTTTTAAAACAATTTTTTTGGCTGTACCGGGTCTTCGTTTCAGCACTTGGGCTTTCTCTACTTTTGGCATGAAGGGGCTTCTCTAGTGTGGGCGCCAGGGCATGCGGACCCGGTGGTTGTGGCTCACGGGCCCCGTTGGTCCACAGCGTGCAAGATCTTAGTTGCCTACCAGAGATCGAACCTGTGTCCCCAGCTTTGGCAGGCGGATTCTTAACCCCTGCACCCTAGGGAAGTCCCTGGCCATACTTATTTTAGAATATGTAAGTTTGGTCATCTCGGGACAGAAATACAATTCTTCTGTCCATACTTTTCTACCCATTCCTAGAGCAGAAACAATGAGATGGGTAGATGGGAGGTTTAAGGCTGAAAATTGTTAAAATAATCATGATCGCTGGCATGGAGGGGGCCTCTTAGTTTCCTGACTGCTGTGCGACACATTATTTCATTTATTCTTTTTAAAAACCCTGGACTGTGGGAACTAGTCACAGCCCCGTTTTGCAGACGAGCGAACTGAGGCCGTTAGCCACTAAGAGTGCTGCTGTGACTGTGGATGAAGTTGTCAGTGAGCCTGAGTCCCAGGGCCAGGTCCTTCCCCTCTCACCGGCCGCTTGCCCTGCCCCTCCTTCTGCCTTCTGGCTCCGCAACTTGCTGGCTTCCAGGAGAACCTGCTGGATGCATGGCAGCCTGGACGCCGTGCAGATGGCTCTCGTTAGCCTGACCCATCTGTCGGCCTGGAGGATGGCCACGTGTCCCGCCCCAGCTGGGCGGGACGTCTGCGCTCACCTTTCCCACGCGGCTCTGCCAGGCGAGACTCACCTGACCCGGGTCTAGTGGCCCCTGGCTGAGCCTGGGGAGGTGGGCTCGCCCCGAGAGGTCAGGGTCAAGGTGGCATAGAAGGAAAGAGGGGTGTGCCATCCACTGCCTTTGTCTGGAGCAGTTCTGTGAATTCTGCGCCGAAGAAAATGAGTAATGAAAGGAAGCTCAGCTTGGTCCATCTGCCCGTGGGCTTTGCAGGGCGAGCGCTTGGTTGGTCTGCAAAGGCGCCAGGTTGAGTGGTGGCCCTGGACCTCCTTCTGCCTGAGGGGCCCCTCCTGACTGCAGTGTGTGGTCCCCACTCCTGCGCTGCTCCTGAGGGTGCTGGGGCTGCAGGTACAGGACACTCAGGAAGAAGGTGTGTGCGTATGTGTGTGCACATGTGTGTGTGAATGTGTCTGGGGATTCTGGAGTTTGAGCTGCTCCTCCTTAGGGGGGTGGTACAAGGCTGAGTCCTTCCTCAGGCACTTCAGGCCCTGGCAGTCCTTCCTGTTCCCCCCAAAGTCCTCCAGCAAAGCGCCACTATGACCTTCCTGACACCATAGCAGTGACTCGTTAGGGAACAAGAGAGAAAAAGAAGCAAGAGTTCCATGGAGAAGACTTCCTCTTTCTGTGAATTCCAGAATCATTTGGATTTAGGGGCTGCTGCCTTTGCTCTTTCAGCCCAATTGATTGGAGACAAGGCTACCAAACCCAGTGTCTGTTTCAGGAGGTGAGACCAAGGGGATGGCCTGTGATGGAATCTGCCCAAGGCTTTGGCATGATCACCTTTAATGTTGTCAGCCTATTCAAAAAGGCAGCAAGCCAAGAAGCAGTTTCCTTTGATCAGACTGCTCTGATGCTCTTCCTATGATGCGATGAAAAGCCTTTTGGACAAGGAGCCCAAGGGATGAGTTAAAT